AGCTTTCGAAAGGTGATTCGGGCGCTCGCATTTAGTGGTCGTGGAAAATTCGACAATTTATTTTATTTCAAAATTCTTGGTATAGTTTGATAGCCAGCTCTATAAGCTTTAATTTGATATAGGCGTTTAGGTATCTACAGTTTAAACTCTACTGAAGGTATACTGTAATCTTAAATTCTGTTAATTCATGATGACTATAAACAACGAAAGAAATAACTGAGGCAAGTCCCTCAGTTTGCCTGTTACTAGCAAGCCCTGATGATTTTCAGATGAGTAATCCAAAAACTGAATGTCTTTTATGTTGGGACCTTCTTGGCAAGTTGTGTAAATAGATTGAAGAGTAGTATATTGCTGAAAATCTTATAGTTTCGTTTCCCGCTTTGTTTATATGCGATTTGTGTTAACTATATCACGTAGCATTTCACCAGGGTATTAGACGCGTTTTAGAATTTCGTTTTACGAATTTGTAGTTTTTTACAGTTTATGTATCCAGACAGTTCTTTAACATGCTTTTATTTGCACGTTAGTGAAGTTTAGTGCCTCAGTTTTTGCGGCACGTTGGCGAAAGTTGCTGCTTTGTATTTCACGTTTGTTTGGTATTAAACAAGCTAACGACAGCTACAAAATGTCATAAGTGAATGATTATGTATATTTTTTCGTGAAGGCGAAGCTGAATCATTTGCTAGCTAGTCGCATCTGGAAACATTTCTCAGCTTGCTACAAAAGAGGAATGTCAAAGTGTTACGGTGTTTCCAATAATGTCAACATTTAATTGTCTGTGGTCCCTCTCTGTGGCTTAACTGCAATCAAGACCATTCATGTATTTACACTGCAGATTTAATGAAAGATTTCTGGCCAGATACGTAGCAAGTTGCTTAGCTTCCTAACCAGCAAAAATATATATATAGTGCTGAAATTTAAATAACGCATAATTAAATTGCTATAAATGTACCAATTGAGAAACAAATGTATCAAAGTTTTTCGGCGATTTATTATCCAAGGACATGTTGTTTCCATGACTACTGAAAGGGCAAGCCTCCAACAGGAATTCATTTGTGGCTTATTCTGAAGGCCAAATGTGCAAACACAGATGTATTTACAGACCGCAACTGTATGCCGTGAACAAAAGATATTTTTTGAAAGGTTCGTTAACGTTAAATCAACAACTTCCGACACACGCTTATATTCTACAGATTTACAGGAACACAGACTATTATGATACAGTCAGTCGAGGCCCTTTGATCCTACCAGAAAAGTATCTGAAAGGTATGGCGTTTTATATTATTAACTTCAGGGCTTGACATGTTGTACCTTTTAAAATTTTAAAGAAAAACAAACAGCCTTGAAAATAGCCATATTTTTGTTGAATTCCGTCCGCTAGTCGTTTTTAGTCCCTGGCTTGAATTACTACAAATTTTCTTGCTGGTTAACATCATTTAGTATTAATAAGAATTTTGCCATACAGGCTCTAAGGCTCCAACCAGCTCCTTGCTGATTGATTCTATTCGATCATCCTCGGTTATTGTTTGCTTGGCAATGAATTGTTGCCGTAAGGAGAGATTTCATTGTCCGTCGCACCGATGAATTAGAAAATTTGAAAACAGTAAGATACTGATCGTGAAGACTCCCTATGCCCTGCCCAAGTGCGACGAAGGTAACGCGTAACGCATGCGTAATGCGTGCCACGCGTGAACATAACTCGACGCTCTTCGATCGACTACACTGCTCATTTTGTGTCCTTTTTTTGTTTTTTCGTTATTCCTTTTTGATCACTGAATAGCTAGCTGATCAAGACTGCACGATCTAAATAATTCTCCAGCCATTTGGTTAATATAATGATTAACATTTTACCAGTTTCTGAAAAGTTCACTTGTCCCATTATCAGCACCGTCATAGCCCACTTAAAGCTGTCTGTTGTAACTTTTAAACCTATCGCTAGAAATGACGTCTCGTTACTAAGCAACCTGAACGAGCTTGGCAACAGATATCTCAGCCAGAAGCTATAAGCAGGCACGTACACACATTCGTCGTCAAATATATGTGGAAGTCAGCCAACATACAAGGTGTTTGTTTCACCCCCAGCCACTATGATGGATGAACCTGCTCGCCAGCAAGCATTGCACAGCCCCTCGGGGAGCTTGGCTGTCCACCTTAAATAAAATAAAAAACAAGGTGTTTGTTCTTTCATTAATCCTGCGTTCTCTCGCATAGGTCAATACGAATATGATGTCAAACTGCGTCTATCTGCCTGTGATCATAAGCTGCATGCTGTTATACCTTATTGAGCCCTCGTTTGGTTTGTATTGCAATGATTTCACGTTGAAAAATGTATTTTCTTATCAACAGTGTAAAAAAATGGGGAGAACGGGTTAAAGGAGGTTTGCTTTACGGGACTATTTTCTCAATGCTGCCCAAAGTGATAATTATAAACAATTATTGGATGAGGTTTATGTGATATCCAGAATAATGAAAATGAAGAATGATCATCGCAGTTCATATATGAATTATTTCATATAAACTTCACATCATCCAGAATAATCGTAAAGATGATTTCTTAGTATTATATTACATTGTGCTTACTTTCTGTGTATAATTTTACGTGAAACTAAGAAAATGGCGACTACTTTATGCGTGAGTGCCCAAGAGATAAATCGCCTTTTTGTCGTATGGTGACTTATAAGTCTTTTTTAATGTTATTTTGAATCAGTAGCAAAATCGATGGCAAAATTTTCTTTGAAGTCAATGCAGTATACCCAATATTATGTTTAAGCTTGCTTGCTAGAATTTCTGCTCCCATGAAAAAAATAGCGTGTACGACTCGTAACCATTTTCTGAAGCTCCTCCTGTTCCGCAAACCATCACCGGAAACACTGTCAATTTCAAAATTTAAATCCCCAAGTTTGGATGAAAATCTATGGTAACTCGTATTTTGGGGACTGACTTTCACAGCGGCTCAAACTTGGAAGTTTGTAAATCGATTTGATTGTCATGTAAGTTTAAAATAATAAACGATCGTCTGCTTTTAATTTACTCTGTTATGGTTTGTTTTTTTTTTTTTTTAGCTTTCTGTCAGGGCAAAGCAGATGGAAATTACAAAGACCCTAACAATTGCTATGGATATATAGCCTGTTCTGGTGGCATAACGTACCATATGCCCTGCCCAGCAGGCCTGAAATATAACAAGCAAACGGATAAGTGCGACTGGCCCGATAATGTGACGTGTTGAATGAAACCAGTCAGTCGAGTTAAACAAGGAAAGACGAAAGACACGTGATTACTTCTGATTCAGTAGTCTTGATCAAGGTCTCGTTTCTATATCGAAGCTGGAGTTAACGTTTAGGAACTGGATAACTTCAATAAATGATACTACATTATACTGCTTGATGTGTTTTATTTAACAAATAAAGAAGCCTAAGCCGAGTATTACTTAACAAATAAAGAAGCCTCGACTGTGCTCTGTTCTGTTGTAAAGCACACAGGAAGTGGTAAAGCACGATGGAAGTGTAGGGGAAAACACGAGACGCAGTCGAGTGTTTTTCCCTACTTCTTGAGTACTCTACCGCTTCCTAAGTGCTTTACAACAGAACAGAGAACAGTCGGGTATTTGAGGACAAGAAGGAACCATAGAAAACACAAGCCGCAGGCAGTTGCTTTATGATATATTGGTAATGTGGCGAAAAATAATGAAACACGCTTTTTGTATGTTTTATACTCTGATAAAACATGTGTTTTTGACCAATCAGAGACCCGGGCAGGGTCTTATCCACATTATAAATACCTTTCATTCTGGTCTGTTAATAATATTAAACAAATAAGTTGGCTTTGAATCCGGAATTAATTTTCGGTCAATGCTGAAAGCAGAATCTAAAAGCCCCGTGGATAACTATTATTCCTTGGGACACTTTTCTCAAAATCTTTGCTCGGCAAGTCAAAGTTAAATCCTTGGTCGATGCTTGTTGAAATCGAAACTAGTTTAAGTGACATGACTTGCATAAATTAAGGTTATCTAGCATTGCTCGTCCTGTGGACTTTTAAACGTTTTAGTGAGCCCCTCATCAATCCAAATAAGATGAAAAGACAAATTATTTTTGATAACCAATAAATAAGTAATCGAGTTGCAACTGACGAACGACACAATTCAAAGTTTAGCACAAATAGTGCATTTAGTATCGACTGTAGTTTTCCTCTTTATAATGTCCGCGCCAGTAAACTAGACTGGTGTTGTAGTAACACAACTTTTAATCTTCGGCAACCATGGTGATACTCACATACATGTGCTTTGGAAAACTACTGAAAAATGTAAGTGCCCATATGTGACACCGCTGACCTACATATATCAATCTGGCACTCTTCATGTCGGAACAAGTGCCACGGAAGTTAATAGAGAGATAAAGCATGACGTTACGGCAAACGGCAAACGGCAAACGGCAGACGGCAAAAATGAAATTTTTGCCGTCTGTCTTCAGGTTTCTATACAGTAGAGTGAAAATATTTGTATTTGCGGTGAATAGTAGAAGACATTTTTCTATTTTTGTGTGATTGAGTTAAGGATTAGAAGAAAAGAACACAGATTCAGAGGTAATCTTTGCCGTTTGCCGTCTGCCGTAAGCGTCATGCTTAAACTCTCTACTGTCCACCAGGTGAGGGGTTAGCACATAAACTAATCAAATAGAGTATAAAATCGCAAAAAAGATTTTTAATTAAGTGACATGCACGAAACACATTTTCTTGTCTTCATGGCAATTTTAAAATGGTTGGATTGTGTAAACTTGTGAAGAAAATCTTCCGTCTCGATTTGTATTCACAATGACATCGACTCAATATCACAAGCTATAGATTGATGCCATAAACGTGATAATATCTCTAAAAATGTTCAAAACAAATACCACAGGAGCCTCTTTTCACCAATATTCTACTCGTCATTGATAGAAGAATCCTTATGTAGATATTTCTTTGCAATTTCGTGGTATTTTAAGACAAATAGATAAATATTGTCTGTAGGTGAATTCGGAGACATTATCAATAGCGATAAACCGTTTAGTCTTGTGTCTAAAGTAACTCAGCAGGGAGAAAATATTTAAGTCTTTAAACTTTTATGAAAATTTCAGCGAGGGCCTTTTATCTGTTTCATCAAGAATGTGAGAACAATTTATATAAGTTGTTGCTCAGTATAGATATTGAAATAAATAACTGAAATTAATCAGTTAATCTAAGGATCTTGTTGCTGAGGTATACCTTAATTAAACGTGTAGCCAATATTTTTCAGTTGCGTCATAGGTCGACGTCAAAAGGGATGAATATTTCCCATCTTTGAAACTTCCGGCACAGTTTTATTAACATTCCTAATTATGTCGGGCGTGTGAAACAATAAGCGGAAATCCATCAAAACGGAACCTGTATGAAAACCTGTCAGTCAATATAACTACTCTGCAAAAAGCACTTGTCAACTGAGAACTCTTCTCTCCATATTTAGACTTTTCATGTCAAATCATTTAATGTGTGATATTTCGACGGATATTTCATCCGACACTATAGATAATCTGTAGCTTATCTTTACCCAATCTGGGCGAAAAAAGGTTCTAAGGCAGTCAAGTTCACGATGTGTTAGAAGAACGTTTTTCATTTTTGGCCCTGAGGAAGCAATGTATAGGGAAAAAAGTCCCTCAGCGATACATCTTGAGCTAGATGGCTCACTGGACGTCTGTTTGATGAAACAAAACAAATAAATTCCTCATAACTAGACAATGTACGGTAACAATCCTTCAATACTGCTGACAGCTATTAGCAGTACTAGAAAGCAGTCATAAGAGTAATACAAACATTTACATGTTTTACAAATAGAAGTATCAAGCTTTCCTCTCTGAAATCTTAACCATTTAATTCGATTACATTTGTTGACTTGTAAGGCAACATGTTCAGCAAATAATTTCTTCGATATTCAGCGAAGGTCCAAATTGTCCGGCAAATCAGTAGAACACAGTTTTTTAAAGTAACATCATAGCCAAAAAAGAGCTCCCAAAATCAGCCATCATACACAGCTCCCAAAAACAGTTCTCAAAAACAGCTACCAAAAACAGCTCCCAAAAAAAGCTCCCAAAAGCTTCCCATTCACACAGAAAAAAAAGCTTCACCGAGCGGTAGGTAGACACGGCACAGATGAATTTGCAAGCCTCCATGCGATTGCAAATCTAATTTACGCCTTCGAATACTATAAAACAGTAGTACAAAAAAGTACACTTGTAGAAATAAACTTGTTTTCATACAGAGGAGTGATGCCTGTCTTCTTAGCAATGAAACAAAAAAAACATCACCCACAGGAATTTATCGCCTTTATCATACTACAACATCTATTTACTTATAGAATCTTTTCACACGATGTCATGGCAGCCATATTATGGTGTCCCAAAACAAAAAAACGGCGGCCAAACCAACCCTGTAGGAGTTGAATTCTTTACTTATGTAAGCACTTTCTTTCACGTGAGTGAAAACGCGGTATAGTTACCTCAAAGATTGCCTTCAATGTCGGCAGATCAAAACATTGCAGTTAATTGAAAACGCTGATCACACTGTGATGTAATATTTTGTTACACGAACTGCGAGTTGCTAAGCATTTCACTGGCTCTTCAGTGACGGATTCAATTTCTGCGCCTAACACAAAGCAGAATTCAACGACTGAGAAAATAGGCTGCCATCGGAATCCACCAAAATGACGTCATGACGCCAATTTCGGCAAGCATGGCAGGGAAGGCAAATACTGTAGTCAACTTACACGACAACTCGGAAGCATTCTTTCATACACCGAGAACATTATTACATGTAAACTCTATGAATAACCAATTAATCGTGAAATTATAACTCAGAAAGCTCACAATCCATCCCTTAAACGTCTAGTCAATATTTTCCAGTTGCCTCATAGGTCGACGACAATAGTGAACATTTCCCATTTTTGAAACTTCCGGCCGAGTTTTATTAATAGCAATGATTATTTCAAGCGTGTAAAACAATAAACGGAAATCTATCACCTCTCGCGAACACGGAACCCTTGTAGATCCCTGTATTAAACCCTATCGGTCAATATAACAACTCTGAAAAAAACTTGTCAACTGAGAACTCTTCTCTCCATATCTAAAATTTTTATGTCAAATCATTTAACGTGTGACATTTGGACGAATATTTCATCAGAGCACTATAGATAATTTGTAGATAATCTTCATCCAATCTGACCAGAAAAGGTTCTAAGTTCGCGACGAATTATATAACTGTTTTATTTTTCTGGTAAAAGCGATAGAATGCCCACGCCATGTGAAGACTAATATCACTGATATCATTGAAATCAGAGTTGATGTCATTTTCCCTCAAATGTTTATTCAGCTTCAAGCATAAACACCTGAAGTAAATTTTGTGCTCAGTAAAAGTCTGCTAACAGCGTATCAAAAGATAAATGTTGCATATTATTACCACGAGGTAATAATAATGATAATAAACTTTATTCACTGCTGTAAATGTTACAGGTTTGTAATTATAAGATATAGCATTACATGTATATAAATAGAACAGTATATAAATAGAAGAAAAGTATAATATGAGACTGGAGACTAAAATAACTCGCACGTTCCTAGTCAGTCCCCAGTTGTTGTATGTAATGCCTCAAAGTACGGATATGAGAATACAGAACTGTAAGAGAAAAGATATGTACATAGTGCAATAGAGAGGACAAAATATTACAAGTTTTCAAATGTTGTTCACACAGTAGATAAAGCTCCTTTTGTTTAGAGAAGTTGGAGACATTGAGATCTTTAAGTGGAGTGGAGATTTTGTCCAAGGAAGGAAAAAAGGATCAAGAGGTTCACTTCAAAGGCACTTAGAAAACATTATACAACACTTGCCATAACTACTCAATATTTCTACATGTTCTGGACCCCGTTTCTTCTCAAATTTAGGAGAGAAAGGCAAAGTTGTGTTTCTGAATAAAAACCTTGAGAAAAATTATGCTCAGCTGCAGTCGACAAAGCAGTTTTAGCTAAAGTAACGTGAATTCCAGCAAAGCATAACAAGCAGGAATGGGTAACAACTGGAGAACCAACATGATTACGTTTTTTATCTGACTCGGGTGCAATATCTCTATCCCATATGTATAATCTTTGTTACATTTGGACCTAAAGAACAGTGTTCTTTATTCAAGTGAATATATTCAACAAAGAACCGTTCAAAATAGGCGCAGAGGAATGGAAAAACATCTTATCTGGTTTTAGGATGTAACTCTTAACCTGAGAGCGGGCATAGTAGAAAATAAAAACGTAGTTTGCTAGTCAATGTAGCAATATTAACGTGTAGGAGTATTTTCAACTATTACAAGAGACTTCCGCCTCATGAAAATGCATTAATTTTACGAGGCGCATAGGGAATATATAAGAGGCTCTCTTGCAGTTTTTTAGGAGTTGAAGAAAGCATTTTATATCGTGCTCTAATCCCGCCTGAGACGTTTCAGGTTTCAAAGAAAGGTAAGACATTTGTTGTTGTTGTTGTTTTCGTTTTTAGTTCCACACAACTTTCAGCTTTTATCAACGGAAGGATTCACGAGTCGAAGTTAATCTGAACGTTTTTTATTCTCAAATTCAAAATCATCGCCCAAGAATTTGCTCACCTAATATTCGGAGACATTAGCCAGTAATTCTGCGGTACATGTACACTAGTAAAACCTTTATAAACTTTTGAAGCGATACATAACTGTCTATACAAACTTGAGCCTTCAAAGCAAAACAAATTATCAGGCTGCAAGTTATCAGGAACTGCAACAAATGAGAAGTGTCTAAAAGAACAGGTGCGCTATTCCTTGAAATATACTACGAAGTAAAAAGCAACTTGTGCCCGGGGAAAAACATAATGATAACAGGTCAGAAGAGGTTTTATTTTACTAAAAAGAAGAACGCATAGAGAATTTTTTGTCGTAGCTACCAAATATGACAAGGGGGCGTGATACGGAGAACAATTTTAGAAATTGAAACGATTTTATAAATTTACAAAACGTAATCAAATATCAAATAGCGATGTCCTGGATGTATTTGAATTTCAACGAGAGGGAACCATCGAGCCCCATCTTTTCATTAGGCATCTAACTTTCTTTCATTTTATCTACAGAGTTGGAATTTTAAAAAAGAAAAAAAATAGATAAATAAATACTAATAAGCAGCACACAGCAACAGATCTTGTCAACTTGCTTTATTTTCTCATATCCTCAAAAAGGCATAAACAAGATATCTACAAGAAATGCGCGCAGGATATGACCTAGATCCTGCGTAAGAGGTGCAGAGTTTCATTTTGGGGGTCGCAGATTTATCATTAAATCCAATACAAAATTTAATACATTGGCGGTCCTCCATCGCAGCGTATATTTCAGGTACTTGAGATTTCCTTCATGTTTTTGCCGTCATGATCTCACTCTCTAGGTGTTTGAAGAGCGGGCACTATGTTACCAATGGATCAGAATGGGAAACTTGACTTTGGTAAAAAAAAAAAAAAAAAAA